ATAGGTTTACCAGATACATCTTGGCACGCTTCGGGATTCAACGGAACTGCGAAACTATCAAGGCCTTTTGAACAGGCTCCATTCTTTTCTCTCGCTTGCCTTTTCTTTTACAAGGAGCCTGTTCACATGCTAATCCAGCTAATCGTCAATCTCTGGCACAACACCCTTGAAAATTTGTTATTTGGTAACTTATATTCATACACGGTATTTCCGCTAGGTACATTTACATTCAAGTAAAGAAAACTAACTACCTAACTAAACAAGAATAGTAAGATGAGAAAAAAGAAAAGAAAAAAACCTTTTTTTCAGGGAGGCCGTGTGTAAAAATAACATGTCGTTAATTAAATTCTTTCACAATCGAAATTAAGGTCCCTTACTTTTCCCTGGCATTAGGGGCTCAATTGCCGCACCTCCAGAGGCAAGCTGTTCCATAACACACTTCCGCTATATGAAAGACTTCTTCTTTTCCAGAAATTGCCGACACTATTGAATTTCCCAATGTGAAGTATTCAATCGAAAATTTAAGAAATTCCGGGAGTTAGCAAAGGTAGAAAAAAACTTCCGGGAAAATTTTTCCTCAAATTTTTTTATAAACTTCGCGATGTTTGTCCTTTTTTTGAAAATATTGGAAAATGCTGTTCCACTTGCTACTGGTCAAGTACTTGCTGAGTTGCCGAAATTTAAACCGGATTTTTTGGTTGAATGCAAAGCACTCCTTGTTTACCCCACAAAATTTTACACAGCCGTTGTTTTATCAGGCCTCTTGGGACGACACTAATACCCAGGGGAAATTGAAAACAAAGGTTATTCGAAATGTTGGCCGGTAAACAGTATAAACAGGGTCTGAAATTAATTACAAAGTGGCGACTGCATGCTTTTATCTGCAATTCTCTTGGGCATATCCAGAGGCACGAGCAGTAACTTTTAAGACTTCAGCCAAGAGTTTTAAAAGTCAGAGAGCCAGCAACACGTGGGAAGATGGAGGAACGGAAAAAAAAAAGAAATTCTGGTTAACTGCCAAAGTTCATGTCACACAAGAAGAATTTGGGGGAACAGACGCTGAGGCGAGTTTCTCTTCAGTCCGTCGAAGATTAGAAGAGTGTTTTCAGTTTTCTTTGAGTTTTTAATTTTTCAGCTGGAGACCGACTTCGTCTTTGAATTAGTAAGTTTTTGTTCATGTTCTTTTATATAACAAACTGTACATGTACCGTATTCATCATTGGGTTGGTAATATGAAAGGAAATGAAACTTTAATAAATCGTAATTATCTTCGCGAGAAACAGAATTAATGTGGATTGGTATAAGAAATCCTTGTTTTAATGCTTTCATATTTTATGGCTGGGACTAAATGTGAGGCTCAGGTGCTCAGCCACGCCTGGTGTTTGCTCTCGTTACAAACTGAGTATTATTGCACACAGGAAAACGTTTCGTTCATAATTTCTTCCGTTCCTAAAGCCTGCATCCGAACATGTTAGTTGCGGGTTTGGAGGTATTTTTCCTCAAGTAACTCGAATTATATTCGTAGCGTGTAAATTGGCCGTTTCTTATGGCAGAAGCTTAAATATGTAGAGAGCATGTGTGTTGTTTGTTAGTTGTCAGGCCTTACTTTTCATTAAACGTAGCCCACGAGCCATTCGGGGAATTAAAAAAATTTCCCCCCAACTCGCACAAGCGAGCCTGCTCACACGCTACACAAACGTGTATATAATAGAGAATTTTAACTTACTGAGAGTCGTGTGAGAGTATATTGTATGACACATCAAACTCCAGCCCCAAAGCGAAAATAAGCTCCCGCCAACTTTCTCGTTTCAAATATATATTTTTTACTTGGCCTCGTGTGCTGCTTACGGGATTTTTGTTCACGTTTATTAATATTAACCAATACTCTAACAACTGATAGAGGTCAACTTTGAAAATGTCTCTTTTGCCATCAGTATACAGTAGTTCGGACAAAATATTTCCACGTGGTTGGACTGGCAGCTCGGCGGCTCGGCGCGGGTATCTGCGCTGATTTGGCGGGTCAAAATTTTTAAACCAATGAGAAGTGAGAATTAAGCAGTGGTATTACGTAATAGGCCAATAGAAATTGAGAAGCCATGCAGTGTTATAGAGAAATCCGGGCGCCATTTTCAAGCTTGGCTGAAAACGAAGGGCGATTTTGTAACTTTTGAATCTTCTCAGCAAGAGGGAGAAAATGAAATGTACAAAACTTGGAAGCTGATTCCGCGCCAGAAAACACCTCGAAAACAGACCATGGTGGGTGCCCAAGTGTATGTAAGAAAGCTTAGTTTTGCGACTTCATTAACGCACAATTCACGTTGATTGAATTCCTCAGAGGTAGAATATCTCAGTAGACGTCGCCAAAAATTCAAACAAAGGAATCGTCGATTATTCTAAGTTTCTACCTTCGCTCCAGTAGAGCTAAACTTCAGAATACCCGGCAACTCTTTTGCATATCATTGAATAACAAAAGTGCCCATACCTCGTTCGTTAAAGCGTTCCGACAAATGTAAATGATGTGGCCGGGTATTCTGAAGTTGCTTTCCTGAGGTTTAACAGCAGCTAAGCATCAAAATTTTTTCAGATCTAAGGTTCGAAGGGGTTCTCTAATTTGTTTTGTGATAGAGGGCGCTTGAATTCCAAGCTTTTGCGTGTCGCGGCGGAAAGCTCTTATGGGGCTTAAAAACGTGTCCATTGTTTTGAGGTTGTAAATGTATTAAACTTAAACCTTTGTGAGTTCATTAAGCGACGAATTCAATCTTTTGTAGGAAAACTCAAAGAGAGACATTTCTGTTGATTTCCGGCTGCCATATCGCTCCGCATAAGAAGACACCAACATGGCGTCTCCATACAAAGCCTTAATATAATATTTGGGTCTCTTGTTGGGGTTAAACATTTTTCTGAATATCTTGCATTATAAATATCGCACAGACCTGATTCTTTGCCAGGCTTTTTACATATTCTTTCGTTTCCAAGATTCTTGACTTTCTGTATTTAATAGACCTATTCGGCTAACTCAATGTTGTACCCAATTCAAACCCTTTGGGAATAAAACGTTGTGTTTCAGGAATTTCCATATCATTTAAATGTGAATGCTACATTATAATGCAAATACAATAAACAAAGAATTTTAACCCCTGGGAGATTGAAGTGGAGAATTGGGTACAACAGTGAGTTAGCCGAATAGGTCTATGGTTCGCTCTTTTTATTTTTGATTGTTTGATAGCTATAGGCTGGTTGAAATGACTTTGGTGGTAGTTCATGCCAGCTATGAGTACACGTCAGTAAAATGGCTAGCTTTAAAACTCACTTTCTTTGCACCCATTTAGAAAATGTCATCTACAGGGTAAAGGGTGTGAATTGATGGTTTTCACAGTGACGTCATCAAATTGCAAAGTCAAAAAAGCGAGGTTTTTCGAATTCTTATTTACACTAGGTTGAAGATAAATAGAAAATAAATGTTTGTAGAAGTTTCCAGCCCTGAAGCATGTTTCGTTTTGAAAATACAGTAATTTGAATTTCCGCGTTTTCACAGTGTGTGACACCAAAATAGGAATGCTGTCTCATTGAAAAAAGTCTCTCATCTTGATTTTCAGCAGTATTAAAAGATGTGTTTATGTGCATGTATGCTAGCTCTCGAGTGAAAAGGGAAAGCTATTATCAAAAAAGTGAACTCCAGATGTTTTAGTTGATTTCTGGTGGCCATATTGGTGGACCAAAACTGTCCACCAAAATGGCGTCTCCATACAAAGCTCTACAAGGGAGTGTGAAACATTTTGGCAAATAATTTGGATACTTTGGGCCACAAAGACCTGAGATTTGGAAAAATTGTTTATATATTAGTCTTTTATAACATTTCATTTTCTTGGCTTCTTCCACTAGATGGTTTCCGATTTATCTTTTTGTGCAGTTTTTATTGGTCAGGCAAAAAGAAAATAGTGAACGCTTGAAGGGGTCTGGGTTCCAGAGAAGGCCAGGCTGCTAAGTAAGAAAGCCTGGTTTCAAAGTCAACTCGAAAACATGGTCTTTTTGACTATCAAATGTCTAAATAGCCTTGAAAAAAAGTAGTATCAATGTTAATTAAAGACAAGGAAATTACATCAAACCATTTATTGTTGGTAATAGAGGTGTCCGTAACGAGAGGTTAGACTGTAGTTCGTTTTTAACTTGTGGATTACAAATAGTGTAAGGAACAAGTTATTGTGGCCACTGCGATATGCAAATGTATCATTAGGGTGTAGACACTGTTCATAATTAGTCGGCTCTGCACGAAAGTGCCTGATATCAAAACGACAACTGTCATAGCTCGATATTCCTGTGAGAGCTTTTGATGTTATGATTTTTTACCTTTCCATGGGGTGTTAAGTTGTCTTCATGTGGACTTTGAATGTTTCAAATTAGCACAATAGCCAACTTTGAGACAGACGTTTACTAACTTTTGAAGCTTTTTGACTTGTCAGGCGATAAACATGATGAAAAGATCAATATTGCTCTTAGACTCTCACGCTAGCTTGCTGGTCCAAGCTCACGATTCTTCCGTGAGTCTCACAATTTTTTAACTTTTCTCATGACGTGACTCCCAATCTCATGGTTTTTAGTAAAATATCATTCTAAAATGAAATGTTTCTTTGTTCAATAAAAATGGGAATGTTTACTGTTAAGAAAAAAAACAGCGTCACAGTAAGGGCCAATGTGATATAAAATCAATATTTTGCTTTCTATTTGTTGTTTAACACTTGAAAACTGTGGTGTAGATTCCAATGAAAAGCAAATTATCCTAGCATTGTTGCACAGGATCTGACCTTAAACTGAATTATATGGATCTCTGTTTTCGTTTGAATATTGTTCACTTTAAAATCAGGCCATTCGTGTGTCTTCAATAAACCATTTTTAAAATATATTCATAGGCAAAGTATTTAAATCACGCCAGTGAAATTGATCATCACAATGTGTCAAAATTTGGAGGTCAAAGTATTGAGAGGGCATAACTTCTAATATTCTTATGAGTAACATTATTGAAAATGTGCAAATGTGCGATTTGTTTGAACAGAAAGCCGCATGGAATCGTTGGTTAATGATAATGTTTCTATTGTTCACGCGTAAGCAAGAGATGGTTAGGTTGTTGTAAAACAAAGAATCCAAAAGGGATTGGTTTGGTAGATTTTGTGACATTTATTGTGCAGTCATACTTTGATACTCCTTTTTGGTACGTGCTATCAGAGACATTTTGTAGAGCAGCTGTTTTGAAAGTTATGCACTAATAAAGACACTCGCTAAGTGCAGATTAAGTTATAAGGTGCATATATAACTGTATATATGTAAACACGTGAAGAGTTTGCCAGACATGACAGCATTGACATGAGTTCACAAATGTTTAATTGGAAACAATTTGCCAGACACCCTTTCTCTCTCATTGGGGGAATAAGACTTGGTCCACAAACAAGCAAGATGAGTGAATCAACGGCTAGTAGAACTATGGAAAATTACAGAAATTCGCCAACAACTAAATTATGTATTGACTTATTCCCTTTCCACAGATGATCGTCTACAAAGTTTAAAAACAGACTAGAACGTGTAAGCGTGAATTAATCAATTTTTTAAATTTCTAAGGCTTACTTCCTGCAAATAAAAGTAACCGTATGTAAAAAGTAAAAAAAAAGCGAAAAACTCCAACTTCTAAGTAAATCTTTTCATACGGTTTAGAAAAATACTATTCTCAAACCTGAGAATGTTTTGATCAGAGGTGTGTAAATTGAACTGAATCAGTGCATGGAACCTTTCATTTCCTGTTTTTTATCCCACCTATTGCATGTGTGAAAATCTTCACTATGAATTGGTATACATGTATTTTCAAAGAGCTACACAAAGACCAAGAATCCTATTTATCAACAATACACACAGCGGTGACAGCTGTAGTGTCAGCTATTACTAGTTATTATTATTACATGAAGATTCGATCTCAAGTGTGACTATGAGGATGAAATTAACTTGAGGCTTACTTTTGCATCTTCTAAAAATAGTCACGTTGGAAGGCTTCATTGTACTACATGTAAGTCAGCAGGGCTTATTTTACTGAGGCCAGTTA